TAATTAATTAATTAATTATTAATTTATAATTATTAATTTTTTAAATGTTCATATTATTATTAATGATAAAGGTACTATTACTACTGACTGGTATAGAAAACCTACTTTTCTGGACGTACTATTAATTATTTTTCAAAACATCCTTTCTATCAAAAGATCGCTATGGTATACAATTAAGTCGATAGAGCGATAAAACTTTCTGATAAGAAATTTCACTCCAAAAACATAGGGTTTGTAAAAGAAATTTTAATCAAGAATAATTACCCCTACGATTTTATTGATAAATACATTACTAAGCGTATCTGTTTTATAAGTTCTAATTCTAATAAAAAAATCAGTAATAACAATATAATATACAAAATGTTTTCCAAAGTCTTTTTGCCTTATGTTCCAAACTTGTATGAGAACACTTCAGTGTTTCTAAAAAATTATAATATTCTAACAATTCCTGCTGATAATAAAAATATGAGTCATAATATCGTCAAAAAAGCCAAAGGCAAAAATAAAAAATCGGAAAATATCAGCACAGTTTATAAAATTAATTATGGTAATTGTTCTGATACTTATGTTAATCAGTCAAAAAGAATGGTGGGTGTACGTATTAAAGAACATAAAAATTCTAGAACTAATGTAATTGCTGATCACACTGACAAGTTTAATCACAATTTTTACTGGAATAATTTTTAATACTTGACAAAGAGACTAATTATAACAAGCGTTTAATATCTGAAATGATCCACATTAATTTGCAAAATAACTCTGTTAACAAAAAAGATGATACATAAAATCTCAGTAACTATTATATTCACTTTCTCAATGAAAAGAAACACGTGTAAATCTTTATCTGCTTTGATTCACCTTGATATTTCTCTTGTTCTATTTTTGTTTACTGGTGGGTCAGTAACCTTATCTTTATCGATATACTTTGCGTATTTTGAATTAGTGTCTAATCGTTCTCGCTTGGATGAAGACGTTCGTCCAATATAAGCAAATGTGTGACTTATATAATTTTTAAATTTTCTCACGGTAATATTTGTAATTTATTTTCATTTTGAACATTTTTTGGTAAAAATGTTTATAATTTATATAAAATTTGTTTAATAAATTGTAGTTTCTGAAGAGGACAGCCGTGCCGTTGAAACGTTAAAAAAGAAATTGTCTTTTTAGGGTTCCGTACCCTGGTAGGAACCCTATTTGAACGGTTACAAAAATGACCATGTACCCCCCCCCTAGCACTCACAGTTTGACACCTAGAGAGCTAAAATTTCGTACACGTATGTATTTTCACGCGTAGATTACAGGAAAAATATAGCGAACGTGATTGGGATTGAAAAAAATCCATGTACCCCCCCTGGCGCCTACATTTTTTTACCTGGAGAGCTAAAAATTGGCATACTTATTCGTTTTTACGCATAGATTACAGGAAAAATATAGCGGAAGTGATTAGAATTTATTTTCATGGTGTTTTCATCGAAAAACTAAAATCTCTTTTTGCAAGCTCAAAAACTCTTTAACCTATTGCTGGTTCTTTCAATTCTTAATCTAGTGGACTGGCGTTATACATTTTTATTTTTTTTTCGTGTGGATTTCAACAAACATTCAGAAAAAATTATTGGAATTCATCTTCATATTTTTTTTTGCGAAAAACTAAAAAAAAATTTCGTTTTAAAAAAAAGTGTGTACCCCCCCCTTGGTTTTCACAATTCTTGGCCTATTGGACTGCAGTTTTGCTTATTTTATGTATTTTCGTGTGTATATTCCAGGAAAAATATAGCGAACATGATTGGATTTGATCTTCATATTATTTTCAGCGAAAAACTCAAAGTTTTTAAAAATTTCGTCAAAAAAGCGTGTATTTCACCCTAGCACTCACAGTTTTTTACCTAAAGAGCTGAAAATTGGTACACTTTTGTATTTTGACGTGTAGATTACAGGAAAAATATAGTGGAAATGATTAGAATTGATCTTCATTCCGTTTTGAGCGAAAACCTAAATTTTTTTTTTAATTTTTGATAATAATTATACCTATGCTAGTTTCCTCAATTCTTAGTCTAGTGGACTGGCGTTATACATTTTTATTTATTTTTTCGTGTAGATTTCAACAAACATACAGAAAAAATTATTGGAGTTCATCTTCATATTTTTTTTTGCGAAAAACTAAAATTTTTTTTCGTTTTAGAAAAAAAGTGTGTATACCCCCCTTGGTTTTCACAATTCTTGGCCTATTGGACTATAGTTTTGCTTATTTTATGAATTTTCATGTGTAAATTTCAGGAAAAATAGACCGAACTTGATTGGATTTTATCTTCATATTTTTTTAGCGAAAAACTCAAAGTTTTTAAAAATTTCGTCAGACATGCGTGTTTTTTACCCTAGCGCCCACAGTTTTTTATTTGAAGAGATGAAAATTGGTTATTTATTTATTTTCACCTGTAGATTACAGAAAAAATACAGCGAAAAATATTGGAGTTGATCTTTATATTTTTTCAACAAAAAAGTAAAAGTTTTAAACGTGGGTACGGTACCCTCGGTTTTAGTACGAGTTCTACTCGCACTTGTCCGGTTTTTTGTTTTTGAAATCCTGACTCGGAGTGATCGACTATCTTTATCGTTTTTGTTAATTTATCGACCGAGTGATAACATCATTACTACATATATTTAACTTGTAGGGGAGAGTCTCCAGTTGTGAGACACCTCCAGTTGTGAGACAGTCAATTTTTTTTAACATGCAATATTAAAAAGCCGATTGGTTTATATAAAAACATTTCTTTTTATATGAGCCAACTTTTTCGTGTACGCCGAAGCGGATATATAAACTGTTTTTGTTAAATACCAACACTGTGTGTGATAATCGACTAAAAAGCGTTTTTTCAATAAATGCAAAGTACTTTTTTTCCAAGTTAATTAATTGGAAAAGGTAAATGTAATGCATTTTCTTTTAGTGTTTTCCTTATATTTTGTGATGCAATATTGCATTGTTCCAATCTATGGTTGAAAATAATTTAATTTTCCTTTTTCAAAATAGCGCCAATTTCTGGGTGTGAGACACAGCATATCACCAGTTGTGAGACGGTGTCAACACCCATCTGGGCAGCATAAAAAATACGACTTTGCATGCATACTATTTAAATGTTGTTTTGATTTCTTTTCTAGTATTTTTGGGCATGTCAAGTGGAAAAAAGTCAATTGATTCAGAAGAAATCAATTTTAATGCTCTTGTTGAAGCTATTAAATTGTGTTTATTTGATAGTCATATTTTGGCAAATAAATATTATTATTTAGTATATAATATAATATATATTATTAATATATTTAATTATTCCTACTAAACATAACGTTTTATGTCAAACTTATTAAATTTTAGCAATTTTTAATGAGTGTCTCACAACTGGAGACATTGTTTTTTTGAAAAAAGCGATGTGCTCGGAAAATGTATCGTAAAATTTTTTGAGTTCATCGAAACACTACACTTTCTTTTAATAAAATTTGCGTATTTCTGTTACCTTTCGAACGGTGTATTTTATTTACAATTTCGTTTACCCGTTTACAATTTACGGGTCAAAAATAAAACCCGTCTCACAACTGGAGACTCTCCCCTATTATTATTAAGCCCGTGCCAAAAATTCCCATTACATTTTTATACGGTTACCTATATGTTTTCCCTTATATGTATTTTCTTATTACTATAGTTTTCTCTTGATAATAATCTAAGATGAAATTGATACAAGTATCCAAAAGAAATTCTTCTTACTCTGGTCACCCACGTCAGACCGGAGTTCCCAACCATGTCAGATTCACAGTCAGTAAAGGAGCTTCCTGGACTACATTTAAACGCTGTCGGACAGAATGGAGAAAGAAAAGCTTAAGATGTAAGACTTGGACCAAGAAATAGTTCGCTTGAACACCCTCAGTAATGCTTTGTTTGAGGAAAACCAGGAACTGCAGTCGGAAAACGCTCATGTTAGGCAAAATTTACAAGTGCTAACAACCTCAGCAGATCCTGACGACGAAAGGACATTGGAAGACGTGAAGTTTTCAGAGCATTACCCAGGGTGGAAATACATCAAGCCATTCAAGAAGACTGTCTAGAGTTGGTTGAAGTTGTGTCCTGCCAGACTGACCCTTCCCCCGAAATTGTTTCCCAATCCTGACAGACTGATTCACACGACCAACTCTCCCCAGACTCCCCACCTGTTTTACCCTACAATGGTACCATTCCTAAGACTCATCTCCGATCTGCTTCTCGAACTCCTGTTAACCACCTATTAGATTCACCCCAAACCGCGTCAACATCACAATTATCTAGAGTCCATTCTTCAAAAAGACAACTTACGGATGAAGCACCTATTTTTAAAGAAAACCTTTTTTATCCCAATAAGACACGCAAGTTGAACCCTACGTTTCCTCCCGAAAAACCTCCCTTGGCAAAGCCCCGCGAAAACGCCCGTAGTTCTTCCTATAATGATTCCTCGTCTACATCCACAATCCCTTCTTTGCTTCGTATTACAGTTGAACTCCTCGATAATGTTAACCCCGAAACAGTCATTTGGATCAAAAGGCCCCCCCGTTAACGGCTGCTAGAATTGTGGCCACCCGAGACACAGACTTTTTTGATAAGCAAGCATCTTTTGGTTATACTTCATTCACACCCATTACGGGCTATTTAAATTTTTTAAATGCATCAACACATTTAATTTGTTTTCTTTTTCCTAAAAAATGGATATTATAAAAATTATAAAAAAGTTAATTACTTTTTATTACATTATGTTGAATTCTTTTTTTCTTCGTTTAACTTAGGGTTTTCATGAGACATACGCTGTGAGCGCTCTAAGCATAGTTTTAAATCTAAGCACTGTTTTAAATGGGTTGATTATAAACTGATATTTTTATGCTCACAGTGATCACAACATGGACCTCGAAAACACTCTTAATTTTGTACTTTGCTTTTATTAAAAAGTTTAGCAGTCATTCTTGAGAAGATAACTGACTTAAAAACTTACCGAAACCGGAATCTTTAGCTCTATCAGCAGAAATTGATCGAGAATGCGTTTCTTCAATAGTTATATCTCCACCAGGACCTACGGATTGACTTCGTTTTTTTGATCTTGACAAACGCTTTTTTATGGTTCCAAAAAAGTCTTTTCGTTTCCTCCTAGGTCTTCCTCTATCTGATGCAATTAATTATCAATTATATAAATTATTTGACAAATACACTATGATAGTTAATTGTGATAGTTAGTAATCTAGTGGAATCAATGAATAACATAAAAATAATTTATTGAGATAAGCAAAGATTTTAAAGAAAGATATGAAACTTAAAACTATTACCAAGTATTACTAAGTCTGATATATAAAATTGTTTGTTATACACGCGAGTAGCACACATGTAAAGTTTGGCTGTCAAGACGTGCCAAGGCAAGTTTGACACATACTTAAATGTGAAGAAACATCAATATCTAAAAATCGAAAAAAAAGTTAAAGTAAAAGTTTTACTGGATTTTTTTATAGTCGATTAAGTTAGTTTGCACTCTTTCCACGTAAGAAAACGACTTCCTTTTTGCGTTTTTCACGTTTCACGAAAAAAAGTTTATCTTGTTAGTTCACAGTGCAGAGTTTCAGAATGCAAAAAACCTTGCTAAAACACCTAGATATATCTTCTTGCTAATATTTCTCACTCGGGCGTTTTTGAGATCGTTGATTATTAATCTGGACTTAGTTCTTCAAAATTAAATATTGCAAATTCAAAGTGGTTGATGAATTTATAAGAAAATAATCCAATTGGCTTGAAATGTGTTACTCCGCATTTTTGGGTTTACTGATTACAAATCTGAACACAGTTTTTTAAAATTCAAAAAGTTAAATTTTTAAACAACTTTAAATTTAATACATGTTATAAATTTTAAAAAATAATCATATTGAATAAAATTATATAAAATAAATGATTTAATAATTAAAAATCGGATAAGTGCTAGCTACTCTCGCACTAAAATCAAGGGTTCTATACCCCAAAATTAAACTCCTTTTTTATAAAAAGATATACATATGGTGAAGAAATATGATTAATTAAAAGTAATAAATACGAATTAGAAAACTATCAATGTATACTTGTGTTTATAAGTGCAAATGCGAGCAAAAATATAGTGTACCTGATTGGAGATAATGCTTATCAACAATATTTTATTTTATACAAAATAGTTATGAGGCATTCTTTGTCAACGGGAGACCCCTACCTCCCCAAAAAATGGTTTTGACCTAAACAGTTCAATTAAACCTTAAAATTTAACTCTTTTCGTCTACTTTTTAATGCGAAGTGGCATATGAAATTATTCAAGATGACTGATTTAATATATCTGAAAATAATACTAGAATTTCTTAAATTCATTTTAAATTCCTATCCTTCCAGAATTGATTTTGACCTAGAGAGTTCTAGTAGGGCTTAAAATTCAGCTATTAATGTCTACTTTTAAAGGCAAAGTGTCATAATTCAAAAATTGTACCGTCGGCATTGGCGTTACCCAATGTACACTGCGGGGAGGTTGCACGATCGGGTTTTGAACATCGTTTAGCTCTTAAAAGGGCTAATTGGTTAGTCTACTGCCTGAATTTTGGAAAAAATTATGGTTACCACTATACTGCAAAGGGTTAAGGTTTGACAATATTACTTTTTTGACAAAGTAAGACGAAACAAGTTACTTCTCCAACTAATGAAAGCAAGACAATTTTCTGGCCCAACCAGCAAAGGCAAAACCAGATCAGATCAAGACAGTAAAGGCAAGACTAGTGTCGAGAAGCTTCTCTTTTGAATGTCGCCCCAATACCATCCGATGCTGCTTTACCGTGCGCAGTCACATGGACATGCCATTCTGCTTTAACTCCAAAGTCTTTCTCGTGATTGATTAAGTTTGACATTTAATATTTGTTTTTAAAATGTTGCTTGGTCCTATTGCTAAAATAAATCACTTTTTTTACTTTAATGTTTTCCTTTAAGTAAGGAATTAGCATCTTTTGCACTGTGTAAACTGCCGCTGTATCATGCCGAGTACTTTCAGATAAAAATACAAGACTTTTGTGTTTAATTTACGAGTCTTGTTTGTAATAACACACTACAGAAAATACTGTGCATTGTGTGTTATTAAAATGGAAAGCTTGAAAGGAATCTTGGGCAATATACTTATAATTCTCAGAAAAATCTAAAATGACTAAAACTTCACCATCATTTAAATTGTTTTTCTTATCACTAAAGAACTGTGATTGCTGTTTTGATGTATGGTGCACACACAGACCGAATGAGTTCCACTATCTCCAGCCAGAATACATTCTTTTATATGAAGAAGGGCAAATTGGCTGAAACTTACAGGAAAGGTTTTATAGGTTTCTTTATATAAAAAAAGACCTTTCAAATCCAAAAGTAGAAGACGTTTCTGCTTCAAAGAAAGACCATTTTTATCTTTTACAGAGACTACATCTTTTTTACCTGGCATTATCCTACTGTTCTCGTTACTAGTGTAAAACTTTACTACATTTTCTACAGAAGATATTGGTAACGTTTTACCAGCCTTTGCTGTAGTTTCTGCTAAAATGCCATTAGCATTTTTAAGATCTATTGCTTTTTTTAGCAAACAACCAACTACAACCAAATTCTTCCGCAATCTTGTGAACACTCCATGTTTTCGGAACTATAGTTAGAATACGTAACCTCAACGGATCACTACTTGACAAACTAGAAAATTTTTCTTTCAAATCGCTAAAGGTACACTTTAGAATTTTAAAAAATTTTATTTTTTTTATTGTATTTTTTAACTTCTTATGACTTCAGAAAACACCTCCTAAAGTATTTATAACCAATTGTAAAAAATAAAAGTAAATTTTTCAAAAAATATTCAATTAATGTAAAAAGTCATTGACAAATTAAGTAAGTCTTTAAGGGGATAGTGGGGTCCAGCTTTTTGTTACGATCAGTAGAAACATTGGTGCTAATGTATGTAACAGTGTCTGACATAAAAAGAATGATGGGGTTTTAATTTGCAAAAGAATTTTAGGTAATTTATGGATGGCCTCTAACGATACATATAAGGTTTAAACGCGTTTTTCTCAAAATAACGTTTTCTCAAATTGCGGACAGTTTATCTCTGAATCTACTGAACCGATTTTAATAAATAATAACTCGTTTTGTTTGTTAGCATGTCCTGTGTGACAATTCACCAGAAAATGGTCAAAAAATTTAAAAAAAAACATTTTTGCAGACTAGAAAAATACTGAAATACATAGTGTATTTTGACAAAAATTATTGAAACATCTGCTATTTTTCATTTTAGTCCATTTTTCATTAATGGTGGTAGATTTCTATGCAAGACACCTTCCTTTTTAAAAAGCAATTTGGATTTTTTGTTTCCGATTTGTCAATCTTGAGATAAACTGTCTGCAATTGGACAACGAACTTTTTGGAGTTTCGATCTGAATGCTGTCTGCAGGTTATGATATTAAATAAAAATTAAAAACAAACCATTATTTTTATTCTCCAAATATGTACTAATATAGGCAAAAAAGTTTTTTAAATATTTATAATAAAAGACCTAAGAAATTTTTTTTTTTAATTTGGTCTTTTAAGAGCCTTCTAAAGTGTACTAGTACCTTAACATATCTTCCAATTCAATTTCTCTTTCGTAACGAACAATAATTGCACTTACTGCATTATTGTCCATATCATTACTCACTTCCATTTCATTTAATTGATCAGACTCTTGTGAGTTTTCTTTATCGATTGTAGAGTCATGTTTTTTGCGTCTACATTGATAACAAACTTAAGAATAATCAGAAAGTTCAGGAAATTTACGTTTCATATTTATTGAAACTTTTCGCAAATCCTTTCCTTTGTGATTCGGAACGCCAAATACTTCATAAGGATTGCAACATCTGTCGCTATGAGAGTTATCTTTATTTGACATTCTTCAAGTGTTCAAAAATTTTAGATGTAAATAAAGAAAAAAAGTTTTGAGAATATTGACAAAAAAATAGAAGGAAGAAGAATTTTGACAAAAGTGAAAAAACAATAATAAAAATAGATCGCTGTGACTAACAATTTGACTGCTACGGTTCACTGTTGAAAAAAAATAAATAAGTTTGATTATTCAGACCCAAGATCGTTCATACAGTAGTGGGGGTATACAGCGCGATTGGACGTATCAACACGCTGATTAGCCCACGCGATTCTCCTTTATGTCCATATATAGTCATATAGTAGAGATCGAGAACAGAAAGTAAGAGTTATGCAACATGTCAGAAACAAATGACATACGTGACTTGACAATTGAAAAAAATGCCTAACACAAAATGCAGTTTGAAAAATTACGCTATTGAATAAACTGAAAAAACAAATGCCTAACGAAAAACAAATGCATGGCTATAAAAGACGAGTTCATAAAGAAGTGACTTAGGCACGTGTTTTAATCATGGAAAAAAATATCTAATAAAAAATGTAGTTAGACAAAAAAATTTACCATATTACTGATAATTGAAAAAAAGAAAAAACAACTGATTATTAAGACTCACGTGTCTTAATAATAAAAAAAATGTCTTATAAAAAATGTAGTTCAAAAAAAAATTTAAACTATTACTGATAATTAAAAAAACAGAAATTATCACTCACGCTGTTTTTGACAATTCAAAAAAACAAATGCATAACTATAAAACACAGATTCAGGGAGAAAGTAATTACGATTATGAATTTTCAAAATCTGATGCCAGATTCGGTTTCAGCGACCCTAAAATCGTTCATATAGCAAGTTTCGAGCAAATTGATTTATTTTTTTAAAAACAACGTTTACGACCTGTAAGTAAAAGAAAATGTCATATTACGTAAAGATTTCGACGTAATGTAATAGACGCTTGTGGGCCTCATTTTTACCCGTAGGTAAAAACTGCCTCAAAATTGATCTAAATTTTGAGGGAACAGTAGGTCAGAGGGAACTTTCTTGTCAATTTTTGACGTGTAGGTATAAACTGCCCTTAAAATTGACCTAAATTTTAAGAGACTACCAGATCAGAGGGAGATTTTTCGTCAAATTTTTACTTGTAGGAAAAAACTGCTATTAAAATTAACCTACATTTTGTGAACAAAAAATTAATTTTAATAGAATTTTTAAAAATAGATGTCAGTTTATAACATATT